GCTGGGTGTTCAGACCACCATCCCCCAGCCTCCCTGCTGGCTGCCCGACCTGCTGGGTGGACGAGCTGATGGGGATAGGGACTTGCCTGCCTCCGCTGGATAGCAGGGACAGCTCCATCCTGCCCCAGGGACTTGGGGCCCTTGTCCCCTGCCCTGCCCTGTCATGGGGGCTGTACCAGGAGGCCCCTGTACCCTGAGCACACCCAGCCTGGTGGCCTCTTGGGTCCTAGGAGTCAGGACCCTGCTTTGTGCCTGGGGCTCAAAGCCACAGCCCTGTCACCTGATCCCCACAGGACTTACTGAGCCTTAGGTCCCTCTGCAGCCAGCTGACAGATCTGCCACCCCCAGGCCACCTTTGTGGACCCTGAGGAGCCAACACTGAAGAGACTGCTCGGGCCCAACCCTGGGCCCTGCCCAGGTGGCTCCTGCCTTTGCTGGGACCTGACTTAGCAGGAAGGGGGCTTCTTGTCCATGTGCCTGTTGGTGTAGTTGGATGTTTGTTCATATTTTATGCACTAATACAAACAGGGAGCTTTCTTATTTTGAAAAGGTCAAATCCAGTGTTGTTATGATGACCACATTGTCACCGAGTCCTCACATGGCCTTGGAACTTTGTCCCCCTGAGACTCCTGAAGCCCTGTGGAGTTAGTTTCCTACCACAAAGATGCTGAAGTCCCGTGGAGAGGTCCTCTCCTCACAGTGTAGGTGCAGGAAACCCATCTCCAGTCTGTTTCAAATTCCCATTCCGGGTAAAAGAGAAACACACACTCCCTGTCCCAGTCTGAGTGTTACGGATGCCTCTTGTCAACACCATCTCCTTCTCCAACTGCAGACAAAACATCTATTTCTGCACAGCTTCAAATCTACCCCTCACGTTACTGCTGTTGCTGCTTACGTCTTTGTACAGGGTGCGCCCCAAACTGCACAGTTATTTTTAGGATTCTGTCTTTAAATCTTACATAAAATAAAAAGCAGTCGTATACCAAAATCATGTTAGTATTCACTCTTGTGCTGCTGATGGGAAGGAAAAATGGGAAATTCAGTTCTATTTCACGCAGTAGCTCCTTGGCGAATGCCTTGGGGTCCTCTCGGCAGGGCCAGCCCTGGGCAGGTCCCACAGAGAGAGGGGACATCTGCTGCTGTCAGTTATGAATGACCACTGGGCATTTAACTTTTGCAAGGAGTGCGTGGAGCTCCCTCCCTCCCAAGGGTGTGTCTTGAGGTTCCAGTTAATACTTTTCCCCAAGGTAAATCAGAGTCAGCCTTATTTATCTTTGATGTGATTGATTGTTAAGGACCATCATGGTCACAATCTTTCATCATATCCTTGCTACCATTTTATTGTATTCCATGCAAACATAATTAATTCTCTTCTAATTTCCAAAGGAAATTATTCTAAGCTGCCCACCAATTTCTACTACTTTGTTTATTATTTTGGGGAAGTACCAGGGATCAAACATGGGACCTTGCGCTTTCGAGGCAGGCAGCAGAACCACTGAGTTAAATCCCTGGCCCTAATTTCTACTACTTTGGATTAAAAATTTAAAAGAAGTCCCTGAGTAGTTGGGGTGATGGTAAATATTGCAGAAAACTTAGACTTTTCTGTGGGAAGACGTCTAATCGTGTTTATATGAAGTTAAGTTTGGCTTTTCCCTCAACAGTAGTTCACACCCAACTATTACTCCCCTAAAGCTACTTTTAAACTAAGGTACTTTATAGATGAATTCTGTAAAGAGTGACCTATGAAAATGTTAATATCAATCACATATTTCAGAGAAGGCCAGAATACTCCTTGGGATAGGATTGCTGTTCTACACTATAATGTCATTGTAAAGGTCAATGAGAAAATGTATGAATCAAGATCATTGCAATCTAAGTGTTTGCTAAAACTGTACTTTTCCCCACTTTTAATATGTCAGTGCTAGTCAGCAAAGGCAGATGTGTTAGGGTTTCATAACTTTGTTGTAATGCAGTTATACCTGAGATGTGTTTGAAGCAGGCAGGCTTATCTAGTGTCCCCTCTGTTCATGGCATGGGGCTGTATAGGTCAGATGACCTTTGCCCAGATCTCAGTCCATGTTTTATATGTAACCTGTCCCATCATCAATCCCAGACACCATGCACGTATTGTCACACTCATTTTTATGGCTTATGTCTAGATGTCCCCCCAAAGGCTTGTGTGTTCATAGGTGGGGCTTTTGGGATCTCGCTGGATCATGAGTGTGTGATACTTGGATAAAGGGTGTGTGGTACTGTATTAGCCCACTGACTGGTTTAGCATAGTCCTGGGTATGGCCAGTAGGCTTGTAGCCTGAGTGGAATAAAAGGGATAGGGATGCTTGCTGGCTGTTGCCTCCTGCCTACCTTGCTATGGACTGTTTCTCTTCTGTAGTTCCTTCTGCCATGGCACTCTGCCTTAGAACCAAGTGACTATGGACTGAAACCTCTACAAACTACGAGCCCAAATAAACCCTTCCCCCTTTAACTTATAGGCGCTGGGTATTTTGTCTCAGCAATGAGAAAACTAAGACATTCACAATGGAGATGCAGACTGGATTTACTATGAGTCCTCTCCTATTCTGAATGGTCCAGGGAATCTTTTTAACTGAAGGAAAGACCACTACATAGTCTGAATTTTTATCCTTGGATTTAGGGATTTCCAAATAGAACTCCATATATTACTTCTCACCCAGTTAGCTTCTGGTGTAGATGCAGCAACCTCACCTGATAATGTTTGAAGTTCAGCATGGAATTCTAAATGTTTCGGTAACCTCGCATCTAGTTAATAATGTAAAGCATATACACAGGTTAAAAATATCTCTGGTTCTATAAAGAAGATCAAATAAACATCCAGGGTCTACTTAATGTTAATCTGAGGAATTCTGGAATAAAGGTATGGTCTTAGTCATTTTCTTTGACACTGAGATACAACAGCCAACATGAGCAATTTAGAGGAGGAAAGGTCTATTTTTCGTCATCTCAGTACCTTGATGGGTATCTGGGCTCCAAGGCAGGGCCATGCGGCACAGGGCACTGCAGGAGCAAGCTGCCCATGTCCTGAGAGAGAAGGGAGGAGCAGGGGAGGGAGCTGGACCCTTCCAGGACACACCCCCAGAGCCGGGTTCCAAACGTCACATTCACCTCTAAATCCATCAGTGGACCAATCCACTGGTGAGTATCACGGCCCCGTGATCCAATCACTCCTGAAAGTCCTGCCTGTAAGTACATATGGCTTAGGGGAGGCCTCTAGATATAAATCATAACAGATACGTTATCACAGAAGCAGAGTCCCAAAAACTAAGTAGGCACTGAAAATCAAACAGAAAGAATGTCTCTCTCCAGATATTTTCTAACCTGAGGATGAAATGCACAGTAGAAAGGAGATTTGAAAAACACTTCCAAATATCACATTGCAATGTTTCACGCCAGCCCTGAAATAACAATAGCGATAGATAAATTGCAAAAGCTTAATTCACCCATTTTGTATTTACCAACTGTAATGGAAAAAATAACAAAAAAACCTTCAGTCACATCAAAAGACCAGTATAATTATTCAGCTCTCTTGAAGCCACCTTTCTTTTATTATCTCCGCCATCCACTGGACTTCAGCTCTGTGTCTCAGGATTAGCATTGCTTTGAGGAAAGGCACATCAGGGATACCCCATAGTCATGTGAAAGTCTGCACGCAATACGGCTACAGAGGTGTAAGTCACTTTGGATATTTTCCTGGGGGTGGGGAGGGAGGGACTCATCCTTCTGACCTTGGGCGCAACCTAAGCCTGATGCAGGAAATGTGGGCAACCTGCAACCAAAGTGACCCTTGCTAGAAGATCGGAAGGAAACAGCGGTGATTCTACCCTGTACCACAGCATGTGTGGAAATGGCTGCTGCCACACTGGGACACATTCTTGGGACTCTTCCTTCACCTTCGGTGCGGCATTAAGAGGACAGTCACATCTGGGAAAGACTTCGGCCAAGAGCCTCTCCAGGAGGACTCCTTTCCCCCCCAGTGCTTCCTCATTTTCAGAATCTTAGAGATTTCCTTTTATTTATTGAAATCCTCTTTTAATCATTCACCTCTCTCTCTCTCTCTTTTCCGGTACTAGGGATCGAACTCAGGACATTGCATTTGCCAGGCAGACATGGTGCCACTGAGCCACATCCCTGGCCCTAATCATTCACTTCTGTCGGGAGGTTTTTACACAGGTCTGCTACTTCTTTTTTATGTTTCTGTAAATTATACCTGCTTACAGGTTGTTGTTTGAATTTATGAATGATACATAGTTACTTTATATCTACCATCTTACTGCAGTTTTTACTTCTTTGTGATTTAAAAAAAATAGACTGTTGCATTTTCAAAGAGTTCATCAAATTATCTGCAGAAAATCCTGGCCAGAACTCCTCAGTAAATTAACTTCTCTGAATTAAAAATTACCTGCCTGTGGTCTTAGTGCATCGACTGTGCTTGCAGACCAGTGCTAACAAGTGTGACAGCTGACACCCTTACCTGATGGTGTGGTTTGGAGCTGGGCTCTTCCCTTGAAGCCTCAGTGCTTGGAGGCGGGGTTTGGATCAGGGGATCCCTACAGCTGCCCGGCTGTTAGGGGGCGGGACCTAGTCGGAAGAGGCATGACCTCGAAGGCTCTTTCTCTCTTCCCCACTCCTCCTTTTCTCTGCTTCCGGGCCGCCGTGGCTGGAGCAGCTGTCCTCCACCCGAGCCCTTCTGCCATGGTCAGAAAATGTGAGTTCAAATAAGCCTCTCCTCCTTTAAGTTGTGGGGGTTGGGCATTGTGCCTCGGCCATGAAGAAAGAGACTGAGACACGTGACACACAGAGGCAAGAGAAATGAAGGTACCGGTGCTGTGGTAAGAACGAAGGTTGAGTAATGCCATCTCCTTCTAGGTACACAATTACTTCTCAATGCTCAAGCAGCATGACTGCATCCTTAAAAGGCAGACTACAAGACGGCTGAATTTACTCTCATATGTTTATTAGTAAAATGCATTCGTTTTTTCTGACAAATAGGAACCACTCTGAGGTTTCTCCCCACCTCCCCACTTTGGGTTGCCAGGGGTGAGGTCTAATCTATCGACCAGGAAACTTGCCGTGTGCCGGGCGTGGGGCCACTGTCCTGGCCCCGGTACCTCTAGGTGAGGTCGCTGGGGACACCGTGGACTCGGAACCGATACACGCAAGTATAGCTCGGATGTCCCCAGTTGCTGAGGATTTTCAGTCTCACGCATAATAAGGATTCAGAAATTCCATGCTGCAGATGAAGAAAGAAATGACTTACAGTGAGATTCACCTCGAAGAATCCCAGGGAACGCGGATCTAATAGAACATTAAAACCCTTTCTTTGTAACTTCCTGTAACACAAGCCTTTTCAGACAACCGTCTAAAGGGCGAGAAGATGAACTACTGGAAGGGAAGAACTCAAGAGGAGGTAAACATGGCAGAGAGCAACAGCGGGGTGGTGGTCTAGGTACTGGCGTGTAGGTCGCTCTCCACCCGCCTGTGTCCCTTTGCTCAGTGCTGCTCCCTACTGAGCATGAGAGGGCACACCCATGAATCCAACTAAGTCCCGATGGAAGAGCCCAGGCTCATAAGAAGAGGCCAGTCCACGTGAAACCCTAAGGACATGCTCGTTTCTTATACTTGTGCTCATCCCTGGAATCTGCAGGAATTGGCTCCAGGACCCACTGACACCCTAACCCTGATGCTCAGAACAACATGGCATGGTATTGGCACAGAACCTGCCCACACCCTTGCATGAGACTTAAACCCCCCCAGCCCATCACGTCTTACCATTTCCCGGGGCACCTATTACCTGTAGGTCAAATGTCTGAATGGTGCTTCCCGTGTTGTTATAGAGAAACTGACCTAGGAAAATTTCTTCTCCTCCACATCTCTTCTGAAGACCCTGTCAGGAGACAGCCGGTATGGAGGCTGGAATGAGTATGTTGTCCGTTAAAACGAATGGGTGTGGATGGGACCCATTGGACCCTCTGTGTCCACCAGGGACAGAGGTTGTGCAAGGGCCAGAACTGGCCGGTGCACCCCAAGGACTCAGGCTTGGGGGGCTAGTGAGGCTGAAGACCCGTCAGAGCGTTAAGCAGGCAGATAGTAGCTGGTTAGCTAGATAGACAGACAGTAACAGAGAGAGGCAATGAGACAGATGACGGGAAGACACAAGAAAGGTAGATAACGGAGACAGAAGAAGGTTACATAGAAGACAGACAGATGCTAGATAGAGAGATGCAGGAAAGATCATAGCAAAAGAAAAGGATAAGACAGATGGTAGATAAATGAGAATATTTACACTTGTGGTAAAAAGTTGGGGACTATTTTAGTGGGAGAAACATAGTAAAACAGCAAATTAAAGCCATTACCTCCCAAAACATCAAAAATTATGCAAAAAAAAAAAAAAGAAAACTATTCAAGTACACTCTATGGCTCAACTAGAAACAATACAGTTCACATAGTCACCATGAACACATTGAATATGATTGAAACAAAAATAAGATACAGCTCCCAGCTCCTCAGACATCAGACATGGACTTAGGGTGAGATGCAGTGAGTCTGATCTTAGGTGTACTCTGCAGGAAGCAAAATCTAAAGACCCCCCAAAAAAACCCAGAGACAAATGTTCATAGCAGTGTTATTCACAACAGACAGAAAGCCAGAGATAACTGCGCGATAACTTTATATGAACAACCCTACCCAAATAAGCCTATGCAAAAGTTGTACAAGCATAACCTCTTCATTATAGGGGAGCAACTGGAAAGAACTGAAATGTCCATCAGTTAAAGAATGGATGAATAAAATATGGTAATACCATAAAATATTACTTAGCCATTAAAACCAGAAATCAAGTACCAATGGTTGCTTCCCTGTGGGTGACTTTGGAAACCATGACACTAACTGAAAGAATCCCTTCATGAAAGTGATTTCATTTATATAAAATGTCCTGGATGGGTAATGTGTATGGAGACGGAGTAGCCTAGGGTTGCCAGGGGCTGCAGTGCGGTGGGTGACTGAGAGGCGACAGCTAAGGGGTTTAGGGTTTCTTTTTGGGGTAAATGTTAAATGTTCTAAAATTGATTGTGGCAATAAACACACAAAACCACTGCACAGTGCATTTTCAGTGGGTGAGTGTTACTTATCTCCATAAGCATGGTTTTTGAAAAAGATGTGAAGATATCAGGAGTGTGGGGCAACCATGGAAGGGAGCTCATCCTCACCTCACTGGGGAATGTCACAACTGGAAGATGAAGAAGCAGCGGTGAAAGCAAATATGGAGGCGAATGCCAAAACGTGCAGCAGAGACTGTCTCCAGTGGAAGGATGGGGGTCATGAGAGTCGGGGGAAGAGAGAGACATGGGACACGGAACCACTGTTCCATTTTAAACTTTCTGGAAATATGTAACGTTTTTGCTGCATTTGTATAACTTTGGTAAAGCAAAATCAATAAAGTGCTACAAAGCCTGCCGATCAACCCTCTCACTTTGTAGAAAGCAAAGCGACGACCCAGAAAGTAAGCGACTCAACCAAGGAGTGACCCAGTGGAGAGCCACACCGGAGGGTGCAGCTCCTGCTCCCCGCTCAACTGCGAGGGTCCGCGGTGGCTCACATGGACAGAGAACTCCTTGGGTGCACTGGACGTGTCTCTCGACGGTGACACCTTCTCTGAGATGTGCTCCATGGTGACCAACATTGGGATGATCTTCCGGGCGAGTCTGATTAGGATGTGACCCTGGGAACCCGGGAAGGCCCAGCACTTTCCAGGGTGGATGTCGGGCTGGAAAGAAAAGAGGAAATTAACCTCTCATATGGTTTTGTAAATCCACTGCTGGAAACTGGGCAGCTGTAATCACTAGTGCTGGCAGATCTCTCTCCGATGCCCTCAGAATATAGGCAGCAATCGGGCAACATTACCAAACAGGAAATGTTCATGACATCCCTAGCTTGTTGTCTTCCAGAGCACTTTGTGCCTCTGCGGATCAGAGACCTTTATCGTGTGAGCATCGCTCTCCTCCATGGTCCTCAGTGGACTGTGAGCTGCTAGACACAGCCAGGGTGTGTGAGTGGTGAGGCTGTCGGTGCTGCTGAAGACAGTGATGGTGGTGGTGCTGACCATGGTCATGGTGGAGGAGGTGACGGGACGGTTGAGATCATGGTGGGGTGATGGTGATGGTGGTGCTGACCGAGCCCATGGTGTCATGGTGGAGGAACAGTGGTGATGGCAGTAATGGCGGTTGGTGATGGGGACAGCAGCAGCAAGGATGATTGTGGTGGTGATGGTGGTGCCGGGGACGTCAGTGATGATGGGGAAGAAAGAGATCTATCATATTCCAGATCTAAACTATGAGTACAACCTGATATGAGACTGTGGCTTTGACCCTGAAGCTAAATCTAAATTTGAAACCAACTTCAAATGTGCAGACTTCAGTTAAGAAGTCTTCTGCTGCTGTGATGTCCACTTCCTTTGGAATTGAACCAAAATGTTCTGTGAAAACCTTGTCTGGAAATTGTTCCTGTTACAACTGGACTTAATGAGAACATGTGGCCTGAATAGCACTTAGCACAGTCCTAGCACTTAAAAGACCAGCACTTTCAATGTTTGTTGAGTGACTGAAGTTTTGAATCTAAAAGGCAGGACACAGAAGCAATGTAAATGAAAGATATGGAATGTATGTGTTCCAAGAAATAAATAGATCCTTAAATAATAAGTAATGATAAACTGACTGAGCATGGTTTACTGACCATCAAATAAGAAATAATCTGTACAATGTAAAGACTATAAAAATCTAAGATTATTTCAGGTTTGGATTATCTTATATTGCCTGCACTTCCTGGCATGTAATAATAAAGTCTTAAAATAGTAATGGGTTAATTTTTTAAATTTTTTACCTGAAGAATGATATCTGGTGGCATTTCATGACTTAGGAGCCCGATCCCATGCCAGTACAGTTTTGTCTTATTATTTGTGTAACTTTCCGAGGTTTCAGATTCAACAATGGAGGCCCCTAAAATATAAAATGCATTTTAAATTTTAAGAAGTGCATACACAAGTCAATATATATCAGTTGCGTTTTTATTTTTATTTTTTTGGTACTGGGAATCGAACTTGGGTCCTTGAGCTTGTGAGGCAGGCAATGGAACCGCTGAGCTAAATCCCCAGCCCCTAGGTTTTAATGATGTCCTTGAAAAAATTATTGCTGGGAAAATAGTACATGAGGCAGAATTCACAGTCAAGGAATCAGTAGAAGGAATAAAGCTGTTCATTTCCACTGAAATTTTGTCATATTGATATAGTTATGTTGGCCTTGGACAGTTTTACAAAATTTCAGAAATTAATATGATAAAAAATTGAATTGCGGAGCAACTAAATTAGAGCTGAAAATAGTATACAGATATTTAGCATCCAAAAAAACATATATGGTGCTCTATAGTTTCATAGCTCATGTGATAAATGAGACTTTCTGCAGCCCTCTTAAAAACAAACAGCAGAGAACAAAATGTCATAAATGGCCTACAAATTATATTAATAATTCCAATTATACTTATTGAATTTTTATTTCAATCAATTAAATATATTCATATATACTATCCCTTCAGATTACTTTGTTTTAGAAAGAAAATGTGTTCTGTGCACTAGAAACAGAAATGTGAACCACTCCTTCAAATTTCGCCTGAGTAACACAATATAATATTAAAAGTATATGTGCTTGACCAAATGTCTGATTTCCAGAACTTTCTGATGAGATCGGGCACATTCAAGGTGGTATGGCCATAGACTCCAGAACTTTCTGTAAGATTCCATGATCTGAAATGGTAAATGTGCACCCAGGGTTGCTAAAAAAAATTACTCTTGGGCTGGGAATGTAGCTCAGTGGCACAGCACTTGCCTGGCAATCACAAGACCCTGAATTCAATTTCCGGCCCCCCCCAAAATTAGTATTTAGGCGTCCATGTAAATTTGAATTTTGGATAAATAAGGACTAATTTTTTAGTAACAGTCATGTCTCATACAATATTTAGGACATATTTATCCTACAAAAATATTTGCTTATTTATTTAAAATTCAACTTTAATGAAATACCCTTTCCTTTACCTGGCACCCCCACACGTACTTGTTTTCAAGGCCAGTATGATCTGCTCACTCAATTAATACCCCTACCCAACCAATTGGACAGGAAATATTTTCTTACATTCTAATGTGAGGACTGATCCTACACTCATATAAACTTTCCAGAGAACATTGAATTGTGAGATTTTTAAATAATTCAAATATATTCACTTTTTTATTCATTTAGCTTATTTTTAAAGCAGCTTCTAAAATAATTCAGATACCATGTCATTCATCAGAGGTACACCACAACTTTTAGACCCCAAGCAAACACACAGCAATGAACAGTTCTCCTCATTTCCCAGAAGCCCCTGCTTCGGGCCTAGATAATCACAGCTATGTCTCCATGAAGCTACCTGAGCTGGGCGTTCCTTTCCTGTGTCTGTTCTCAGGGGGTGGCCGTTTTGAACATGGCTCCTTCATCTAGCAGAACACAGTTGAGTTTCATGAGGGTGGTATTTAGGGTTAACCCCTAACTACTAAGTTACTTCCCTAGCCCTAAAGTTTGCTTTTTAAAAAAAATATTCAGTCCAAATTTGCTTTACTTTTTTAAGGAAAGTGTGACCTACACAGTTTCTCTAATAAATGTAAATTTCTCACTGGAGATTTTTAAGGTGCATGATTCACAGCCCACACTCTGAAGGATTACTTTTAAATGGAAAATATTAAGAACATTACTTGGTAAATGACTCTTGACTGCCAACTTAGTCACTAATAATACATTTAGATTTGTCATAATGCATAAGGTGTTTTGGTTTCCAATACAGACTGCTGTCATTTTTGCTCTGCTTAAACTGTTTTCTGCCTTCTCATCTGGGTGGCATTTCAGCTTCCTCTGAGTTCCTTTGGGCCGTGCTAAGTTGAACGGTGTGTGCCAAGATTTACTTGTGGAAAGCAATCAGCGATAAGCACTTTTAATGTATTCCTTGTCCTCTAGACTTATTGTTTTCCTTCTCCAAAATTACTAAAAAGATGAAGAAATTCAGGGAAGCATGAGACATGGGGGGGGTCATTCCTTCTTTTCCCTTTGCTTTCTTATACTCATCTGTTCACCTTTTTTTTGGTGAACTTGGGACCTTCTGCTTCTGAGGCAGGTGGCAGAACCACTGGGCTACATCCTTGGCCGCGTTCACTTTTTCTGTACATACTCACCTGCCGACTTCAGGGCGTAATCCACCATTTGCACTTGGTCCTCTCTCAACTTTTTCAGTATGTGGTGTACTAAGTTGAACATTTCCTGTACAAATGGTAAAAACAGTTTTCTGTTAACCTTTACCAGTGTTCACCGTGAGGTCTTGGTCCTAATCTGCAAAATAGCAGCCTGTGCTTTCCAGTCAGATGTGAGGCAGGCTGGGCTGTGGGATCAGCTGCCGCCCATCCTCCTCTTAGCAAGGCACACGCAAGCATTCTGTGGTTATTTGGGAACTTGGTGGTTTGCAAATCCTGCACGGTTGCTTCTATGTGCTGAATTGTATCTGCTTGAATTAACTGTGGGTTCTGCAGGGTGCTGTCCTAGAGTAGGCAAGTATCCTGAGCAGTTTAAGCTCTCACAAACAAGGGACAAGGCAGAAAGCAGGGCCCGGAAGGCAGTGGGAGGCCAGTGTCAGATTTTTGTGAATAATAAAGTATGGACACTGTGGAAGGGACAGGCATGGTGGTGCTGGTGGCTGCTGAAGAGAAGAGAAGAGAAGAAAGCTGAGCTCCCCAGTTGGTTTGTTTTTGTTTTTGTTTGGTACAGAGGATTAAACCCAGGGCCTTTGCACTGAGCTACCTCCCCAGGCTCTTACAGTCTGATGGCTCAGACTTGTCATTTCCTGCCTCAGCCTCCCAGAGAGCTGGGATTAGAGGTGTGCACCACCACACTCAGTTTAGCTCACTGGTTTTACTCACCCTTTGCCCAGCCCTGGCGCCCATGGGCCCAACGGCACTTGCTATGAAAGCGGGGACTAGGAACCCCTCACTATTTCAGGGTTCGGGGGTAGATGCTTGGAGCCCACCACTTCCGAGTGATCTTTTGCTTTTGTTTTTTTTACTGGGAAGTGAAACTGAACTGGGGGTCTATTAGGGCAGGAAGGAGGTCCCACTGCGGCACCCTGTTTCTGTCACCAGCATTACGGCAGGGTGGGTTTCCTGGCAGGCTCCAGGCACCAGGTGCTCTGGCAGGGAAGGGGAGGCAGCAGCACTCAGTCCCTGCTGCCCTCCAACTCTCCTTGCCTCGTCTGGCTCCTCCGTGACGTCCTGCCCCTGGGGGACACGCCCGGGGTCCCTCCCACTGTCACGGTCAGTTCCGCCCTTCACGTCCCTGAGCAGGGCCCTCAGCATGTCCATCTGCTCCATCAGCAGTAGAATTTCTCGGCAATTGTTCTCCAGAGCCTGGCTTTCCCTCCTGCAGGGGGAGAGACGCAGGTCAGAGAGGAGAAGGGCCATGGCGGTCAGGAGCCGGGCTGAACTTGGGCCACCACCACCACCGGAAGGGTGTTCGGTGCTGGGGGAAAGGCATATCCAAGTGGGGGGCAGGGGAGCGCGCTGCTGTAAGCGTCACAGGTTGCCGCGTCAGAGCCGCAGGGATGCCAGGCGAAAGACCCGGACCCACTCCGGCACCAGGCACCTCTCACTGGTTTTACTGCCTGCGTGTGCAAGATTTCACCTTCCAAGAATTTAGTCTACTGCTCTGCGGTTGAAGAGCCGCTGGTAGGGAGAACAATAAAATGTTAAACAGGGATTTCCTTATGTTGAAAAAAAAGCGCTATTTGTTTAGTATTTTTTTTCCCCCAAATTGTAAAACAATTTACTTTTTTTTTTGAGACAGGGTCTCACTGTGTAGTTGAGACTGACCTGGAACTCACTATGTAGCCCAGGCTGCTCTCGAACTCACAGCGATCTTCCTGCCTCAGCCTCCTGAGTGCTGGGATTATATGCGCGTGCCACCACGCCCGGTGCCAGCTAAAACAATTTACATTTAAAGCTGGAAAAATACAAACACTTTAAAGAAATTAACACTATTAATTTTTTTTTGTACCCGGGAATCAAACACAGGACCTTGTGCTTGCCAGGCTGGCACGGTGCCACTGAGCTAAATCCTGGCCCCAACACTATTAAATTTTGATGTGATCTTATAGTTTGTATTCAGTGCAAAAAGTCAGTAATGAAATAGGATTGTATTTGTGATTATGTGTGCTAGTACACTCTGAAAACAAAAAAAAATTTAGAATTATTTAGTAGCATCATAACTCCATTAGTACATGGATAAACTAATGTATTTAAACTTTGGCCCATTTTTCTCACCTAAAAATGGTTGTTTTCTATTTTTTTGTGTGATTATAATTAATACTGAAAATAAATTGGGTATATATTTCCTTAAAGAATGATTCATGGTAGTAGAAATATATGACAGGGCCAGTAATATCCCAAAGTAATAAAAATATGACTGTTTTTATTGAAAGATACATGTGCTTACTATAAAGAAAAAAATCACCAGATGGGGTGGTGCATACCTATACTCCCAGCACTCTGGGAGACTGAGGCAGGAGGATGGCAAGCCCTAGCCCATCCTGGGTAATTTAATGACTTAGGAAGAAAATACAAAGATAAATTAAAGAAGGGCTGGGGATGAAGATTAGTGCAGGTGCTAGCTTCGTCCAGTATCACACACACAGAAGGAGAAAAAGAATCAGCGGCTAACAGGAAGTGGCCTGGGTCAGGGCTCTGGCGTGGGTGGAGCAGTGAAGCCTACTACAGTGGAGAGCGGGGTTTAGTTTTTAACTCTGCGACATGGTCACAGCCTCTGAGGCCACCAGAGTGTGGTGCGCGGCTCAGTCCCACTCACTTCAGGAGTTCCAGCTGTTCTCTGGGCATCCGCAGCCTGGCCTGCAAAGAAAGATAAAGGTAAGTCTTTGTGCATCCCGCTGTCTGAGGGGGGCTCTGTTTTCTCTGAGGTCGCATCCGCTCTCCGGGACCCTGGCTCCATACCCTGGGAAGGTGTCTGGGGCTCCTCAGGGCCCCCGAGGAGGCCGTGACGTCCTCCAGGGCCGGGGCGGCACCCGGGTGCTCTGCAGGGGGACGGAGATCAGAGGAGAGGAGGCAGCGAGGACGCTGGGTCCGTGGCATGCCAGCCCTCACCTTGGCCCCCACGGTCAGCTGGCCATTGGCAGTGCCCCTGGGGGGCTCCCCCAGCCCAAACCCCTGCTGTGTGTGAAGGACACGCAGGCTGCTGCTCTGTCCCTCTGAGGGCAGCGCTCACATTTCCCGAGCACGAAGGAGAACTTCCGGGGGCTGCATGGGGTCCTGGGGCTGCAAACTGGGCTGGAAACACCTCACACGGCTTCTCTCAGCTGAGTGCTGGAAGTCGGAGGCCAGGGGTCCATAGGGCGGCGCTGTCCTCTGAAGGCCTTGGGAGATGACTTCCGCACCTCTCCGGTTTCCGGTGGCTCCTCGCATTCTTGGTTTGCGGCTGATCCCCTAACCTCCGTGGTTCTTCGCCTTGCACCTCTTTTTCTTTTATAAGGGCTCCCATCATTGAATTAGGGCCCATCTGGGTGATTTCATCTCGAGATTCTTAACTCCAACCGCAAAGATCCTTTTCCTTAAAGGTCACATTCACAGGCTCTTGGGGTCAGGATTTGGCTGTGGGGTCACCTTTCAAGGCTCCGAGGGAATGATCAGCGTGTCACCTGGGCCTGGGGTCGGCCTGGAGGCACAGTGACCGCCTGGTGTGGCCGAGCCTGGATTCCTCCCCAGCCCCAGCACACCGCAGGTGCCTGGGAAATTTCCTCCAGCCTCCTCCCCTGATCAATCTGCTTTCCTGTTCCGAAGAACCTCTTGGTTCCTGTCAGTTTGCTATGCTCAAAACTGCCACGAATGGAGGGACCAACTACCAACACTGTTGGAGTGTGTGACAGCAGCCTTAGCATGGAATCCAGTGTGGGACAGGGATAAAATTACCTCGCATTTTTTTTTTTTTCAGCTGAGCAGTTTAATTTCTTATACACTGTCTTTGTGAGAGACTTGGATTTGGGGGCTTTCACAGCCAGATTGATTCTCATTTCTTGTTTTTTAGTTTCAATTGGAGTGAGTTGCTTGTCCATAGGGATGGAGTTTCCAGTTTATTCCTTTTTTTTTTTTTTTTTTTTTCTGTTGTAGATTTGAATGAACGATAGAAAATGTTCCGGGATTTGCTGATGTGTGCATTTGAAAATTCTTTGAATATTAAAACTTTCCATAACTTTAAAAGCATTTTTATTTTGCGTCAATCCCAAAAGCATTTCAGGCTTGTTCTACTACAGAAACCATCCACCCATCTGTCTGTCTGTCTGTCTGTGCACCCATCCATTCACCCACCTATCCATCTATCTACAGGATTAAAACACGTAGGACAGAAAGACATAAGTGAAGGAATAAAAGTGAAGAAAAAATAAGTATTGGAGAAGTAAGATAATGTTAGAAGCATGGGCATGGAACATATATGTGCCTTAAATTCTGAGAAGCTAAATTCTTTTTTCTCCTTTCATTAAGTTTATTGGTACATTTTAGCATACAGTACAGTTACATTCATCATTAGGATCTTGTACCTTTACATGATGTATCTTGGTTTTCATTTTTTCCCCATTCCCCAGCCCCATGCCTCCCTATATACAAAGACTTTGTTTCCATGTTTTTACTTTTGAGAAGCTAAATTCTGAACACCACAGCAACCTGTCTGAGGTGGGGAGTGATTGAAATTTGCGGCATCCATGCTGCAAAACAAAGAGAAAAACCATAGGTATTGCAGAGACTCGGGACTGAGGATGTCACACAGGGACAAAGTGCCTGGCAGATGTAAGGCCCTGGTTAGATCACAGCACCATAGGAGAAGAGGAAGAGGAAGGAGGAGGAGGAGAAGGAGAAGGGGGAGAGGAGGAGAGGGGGAGGGAGAGGGAGGGGAAGGGGAAGAGGAAGAGGAAGAGAAAGGCTAATACTAGAAGTTACAATGGTTGCTGCCTGTGCATACTACTTAAATGCTGGAGCACCCAATCTGAACTCATTGTCCTTAACCTCTTCATGGCGATGGTGAATCTGTGGCCCCTGACAATGGGGTTTGTCCTCACAGGGCCAGCGAGTGGACAGCAGTCCCAGACTCGGTGAGCACTGAGCGCGAGTCTGAGCTTCAGCCTTGGCAGCTGGGCAGCCCCAGGCTGCTGAGTCCGGGCTGTGATCCAGCTTCCGGTCTATCAGTGGACCTAGCAGTGCCTTTATTAAAGGGTCACTCTCAGGATGAAGGGACAGGTAGGCTTTCTTAGGATGTGTAGCTGCTATCGGGTTCCTGTTCTTCGTGGTGGGCATTCATGTTCAAGATGAAAAGGCCATCTAAAAATGGTGAACATTCTTTGTTTATCCTTCTTTCAGTACATGCATCCCAAGTAAACAGCCGAGGTGGCTGAGTGGATTTAGTCACCAGGATGTTTATAACATGAAAGATGAGAGAAAAACTGTTCAGAAAGAAATATCCACTGAGTATGTAATCATTGCAACAATGGAATATTACTTAGTCATAAAGTGCTGTCATGAATTGATATCTAAGCAGGGGGATGTGTTTGAAATCTGCTGTTAGGTGAACAAAGCCAAGCCATGAGACAGGGTCCAAGTGTGGCTTGGGGTCTGGGACGGATCCCACATAGAACAGTGAGGTGCCACCTGTCCAGTGTTTTTTTGGTTTGGTTTGGTTTTTTTTTTGGTACCAGGGATGGAACTTGGGACTTTGCGCTTGTGAGGCAGGCAGCAGCACCACTAAGCTAAATCTCTGGTCCCGTCCTGTGGTTCTTGATGGAGCTCTCATCAACACAAACCCAGAGCAACACTGCTCACAAATGCCCAGACCTCAGCCCCTAGACATGGCCTCAGGCGTCTTTAGAAGGAAAACACCATGGAGTCTGCTGATCAGTGTAACATCGAGAGATGGAGGAGAAGGACAGCTCTGGAAAGTTGGAGAGAGACCACTGAGGTTGTTCACTCATTCATTCCACTACTTATTGAGCATCTGTGTACCTGGGGACAACTCTAGGATCTGAAAAGCTCATGCCTCATTTCAGTAGGGGAGGGCAAGGCAGGAAGAGTCCACAGATAGACCAGTGAGCATCGAGGGCAAGGCAGACGTGAAGTTCCTGTCCCTGGATGCTGTCCCAGTGGTCGGTCTCCGTGGCCACTCTGGAGAAGGATTTGAGCTGCGCAGGAGTATAGGGGCAGGGCTGTCTTGTTAGGATCTAGGGCCAAGTACTGTGGGCAGAGGGTTGCCCCGGGTCCAGCCTCTGGTAGAACTGCCAGAGGAACTTGTGGTCGTGGTAATCAGGGTATCCCAGGGAAATGGGAGGGAGAGGGGGCAGATGTTTGTTTTAAGGAGCTGGCTCTTACAGCCATGGAATGGTGGGGCTGGCAAATCTGAAGCAGTCAGGACAAGCTGGCATCTGGAGACCCAGGGACAAGACACGGTGTAGCTCAAATCCGAGGCCATGGAGATGCAGAATTACTCTTCCTTGGGGGTTGCTCACAACCTTCAGATGATCAGATGAGGCCCCCCCAAACTGTGGGGGGGCAACCTCCTTCACTTAGAGTCTGCTGATTTCAATGTTAATCCTATCTAAAAATGTAGGCCAGCCTCCATGGTGCACACTTGCAATTGGAGCCTTTGGGAGGCTGAGACAGGAGGATCGCCATGAGTTCAAGGCCAGAGTAGGCAACCTAGTGAGAGAGCTCTCAAAAGAAAAAAATACTTTCACACCAACACCTAGATTGGTAGCTGACTGAACACTGCACCATGGCTAGCCAAGGTGACCAGACATTGCCACCGCAGTGAGGATGGGTCACAGCCAGGACATAACTGGAGACACCGTATCCACCCTGCATATTCGATTTTGTCTTCCTGACGATGACCTGGCTGTTGGGCCCCAGCTGCCAAGGGCCTGGGTCCTGGTCTCAGATGCGTGGATCCCAGTGCATAGGAGTTGCCTCACACTGACCTCCCACGCAGTGTTCTCTTCTCTGGGTCCTCCAGGGGATGCTCCTTTCAGCCACATGTGTTCTCCAAGCCTAGCAGCTCGCAGCTCTGCCTGGCAAGACGCACAGGAATGCAGCCTTGCCTGGGTGGGCTGGGAGGGTTCCAGAGGCCCTGAGGGAAAAGGTCCTGAGATATGTCCTGGTCGGCCAGGTCCAAGGTCACCCATGGGTGACCATGGTGGAGCTACTGTGTGTTAGAGGTCAGTATGTGTGCCTGTCCCTTCACACATGGAATGACCACCTGGCCATAGCCCCGTGACCTTCCTCTCTCTAGTTTTCTGAGGTCTGTGTGTAAAACGGATGAGCCTCACTGTGAGGACAGGGAAGTAGCGTGGGCTGGGGCAGGCTGGAAGGAGGACTTCGGTGGTCAGCCTCCATGGACGCCCGTCGCGTTCTGACTATGTCTGGTGCCATATTGGCAGGAGTGTGAAGAGGGCAACAGGAAGACTCAGCTGTTGCTTCTCCTTGTCCTGGAGCTTCACATAGGCACCTGCAGAGAGTAGAGGCTGTGGAGAATGTTTAGGGCTTCTTATCTATAAAAACTCTTCGAAGAACCCCATTTCCTGTGTTATTTCTGTTAAATATTCTCACACAAAGCAAAGTCCACACACGAGAAGCTGGATTCACCTTGCAGCATATTAAATTTTAAATGAACAATGGGCAGGGGTAACAATAAAACATCACCTGGTAATTATAAACCCTTGTACCATATTCTGCAACTATGGCATGTAATCGTCTGTATTTCTGAGGAAACTCTGCTTCTTTAAGCCACTGATGATTTCGAAGCCCTGTCAAAGAAACAAGACCAACTCTGGTTAAAGAGCTTATCTGAAAAGCTTTATAAAACATTTCACATGTACTAATAGTGATTCTAGAAGTTTGGGGGAGCCGGGTGGGTCCTTTCAAGTCCCCAGGTGGTGACATTGTGTGGCAGGACACTCACAGTCCTCCAGAAAGAGCCAGCGCAGAAGAACACAGACAGGATCCTGATTTTTGGAACTCTGATACTCCACTCAACAGCAGATTTGAGAGGACAGAGGAAAGAATCAGTAAACTTGGACACAGGGCTATTGGTATTTTTTAATCTAGGGAGCAAAAAACAAAAGAAGTGAAGGTGAATGGAACCTCAGAGAACTGTGGAGAGAGGGTGAGGCAGTCGCTGGTGGAGGAAAGAGAGGAAGAGGCAAAGAACAATGGAAAAAAATACAACTGTCTTTCCCAAATTCTATGAAAACCAAGAAGCTCAACAAACTCCAAATGGAGCAAACTTAACCATATTTACACTGAAACATGTTATAGTCAAACGTAAAAGACAAAGACACAGAGAAACCCGAAAACAGTGAGAAAGAAGGGCTTAGTCCTGCGCGAATGACCCTGTCAGATTATCCTTTATTTTCTCAGCAGAAACCCCAGAGGCTAGAAAACAGCAGAACAACATATCCGAACTGCTGAAAGAAAAGTAAAATCGACATATTTAAGGTACAAAGAATTTTATTCCAGCAAAACTAACCTTCCAAATGAACAAAAGAATAGTAAGATGTTCCCAAAGTAACACAAAGTGAGAGAATCATGACCATTAGACTTGCTTTATGAAAAAATGATGTAGGGGGCTGTTCAGGCTGAGTGGAAGTGTGAGCAAAAGGTAAACTGGGTGCCATAAAACGAAACCAAGTTCTGCAGTGAAGAAACAACAGGAAAACAGAAAAGCCGGTATTATTGTATCTGTACTTGGTAACTCCTTTTTAACTTTCTACGTCATTTAAAAGGCATAAAAATAATTCTAAATCTATGTTAATAAGCACACAAAACATAATGATAAGATTATTGACAACAGCATAAAGCGGGACAGAGCGGTAGCGGAGGGAGGATGCAATTTGCTATGGTTTAGATCTAGAAGGCCCCTTCCAAGGTCTCACACGTCAGAGATATGGCTTTCAGAAGGCGATCGGACCAGGGGTGGGGCCTCATCAGATGCTTAACCCACTGAGGAGTTCAGAGAAGACTGTGCTGTTAGGGGGCGGGGCCTGGCTGGAGGCGGTCCCTGGGGCCTATTCTGGAATGCTGCGTCTCGCTCCCTGGCTCCTCCCTTCTCTCTGCCTCCTGGCAGCCATGGAGTGAGCAGCTTTCCTCCGCCAGACCCTCCTGCCAGGCCATTTTTGCTTTGGAGTCCCTCGACCATGGACTAAAAAATGTGAGTCAGAATAAATGTCTCCTCCCTCTCTTAGTGGTAGGCATTCAGTGTTTTGTCTCAGTGACAAAGGAGCCACTGAGACACAATTGAAAGCTAATCTGGCATCAGTTAAAACTTTTCCTTTAAAAGTTGAAGATGTCACTTGCAATTTCCATGGAAGTCACATGCAAAAAAAGATCATCAAAACAATACAGCCAATCAGTTAAGCATATAAGAAGGCAGTAGTGGCAGAAATAAACAGCAAAATATAGAGAAGAAAAAGGGAAATGGTAGAAACAAACCTTTCTTTAAAATTAAATGTAAATGGAGTTTTTCTGTCCAGTAAAAAGCAGAGACTGGCAGAATAGACTTAAAACTATGATTCAGCAAAATGCTTACAAAAGGCTTCCTTTAGAACTGAGACTGAAAACTCTAAAACATTGCTGAAAGAAATTAAATAAATCTATATAAATAGAAACTCAGCTGCGCACACCAGCAATCCCAGCACTTTGGGAGGCTAAGGCAGGGATGGCAAGTTTGAGTCCAGCTTGGCAACCCAGTAACTCAGCATGACCTTGTCTCAAAATTTAAAAATAAGTGCCGGGGGTGTAGCTCAGAGTGAGGGTCCTAGGTCCAGTACTGAAAAAAATTTAAAAAGATAATCCAATAATCCACGTTTATGAAGTAGAAGACTTCTTATTGTTAAGATGACAGCAAGAAAAAAAGCATGTCTTCAAAGCAGTTCTGATCAAAATCACGACAGATAATGACTATGGCCAACTGAACTTCTGGCAGGGGTGCCAAGACTACCTGAAGGCTCCTGCGGGGGAAATCACCTTTCAAACCAATGCTGCTGAGACAACTGCATGGCCACATACAGAACAGGAACAAATAAGTCGAACCCTTACCTTGCACCAGGTACAAAAGTGAACTGGCAACTCCACAGCAAAAGAACAAGTAGCACAATCAAAAAATGAGCAAGAGACAGACAGAAGCTCTTTCTCCACAGAATGGATGCAACCATGCTTGGCACCACTAGCTGTGAAGGAGAGCAAGTGAAAACCAAAGCCAGGTGGAGACACTCCAGCTGGAAGTGCAGGGAAACCAGGTCGGCAGGTCCTTCTCCAAACTCCATCACTTCCTTTATACTCCAAAGAACCAAAGGCAGGAATTCAAACAAACACCTGTACAGGTGCCCTTCGCACTGCTAGTCACAAAACCCAAAAGGTGACCATGGTCCAGTGTCCATCAGTGGAGACACACAGAAACAACTCCTAGTGTGTGCATACACCAGAGTGTTCTTCAGCCAAGATAAACGGATGAATACAGCCTACAACACTGGCCAGCCCTCAAAACGTGAAGGTACACAGAGCCAAGAGGACAGGAACGGCCGAATGCTGAGTGGTCCCAAAGGAGAACGTGCAGAGAGACAGGATGGAGCCTGCTGGTGGCGGGGTCTGGGGAGAGCGGAAAGGGAAGCGAGTGCCTGCTGGGTATGAGGTGCTTCCTTTGGCGGTGATGAAAATTATTTTGGAACTCTAGAAAGGGAGTGGTTGTGTGGCACTGTAAACAAGCTAAATGCCACTCACGTGTGCACCCAGAGGCTCATTTTATACTGTGTGGATTTCAGCTTGGTAAAGAACAGAAGGATCAGAGCCCTTTTCACTTCCACTGACACTGTGTTTCCGTTTTTCCCGCTGTGTATGAAATGGATCCGGCACATTTTTTGCCAGCTCATAATCAGGTAAAGAAGCAGTTTGCATCCGGTTAATGACATAATGTGTGACTTTTACACAGACTTTTTACTAGCATGTGTTTGTGATCTATAATGAATACATTTGGCGTGGTGAGTTGGTATCCCAGCACAGTGCATCCTAGTCCTTTTTCCTTCCTCTCCTCCTCCCTTCCCTCTCTTCAGTCCATCCCTAGGACCCTTTCCCATCTGAAAAGCTCTCCTGCCCTGTTTCCTACAGTCCCCTTCACTTTGCTCTTTGAGTTACTTTTTATTTATTTTGACACTGGGGATCGAACTCGGGACCTCGTGCTTGGGAGGCAGGCAGCAGAACCACTGAGCTAAATTTGAATTAATAAATATGTATCTTAAAAGATGTCACTATAGTTCAGGGAAGTATCCCCCCATGGGCCAGGGACAGTGGCTTGGTCCCCACTCCTGCGAGACATTGGAACCTTGAGGAGGTGGTGCCTAGCGGGAGGAAGTTAGATCATTGAGGTACACCTTGGAGGGGAGCATTGGAGCCCCAGGCTCTTCCTGTTTCCCTTTCCCTTCCTCAGCCACATACACCCACCATCATGTATTGTCACAGGACCCAGAGCAATGGACCAACTGACTGTAAACAGAAACTTCTTAACCTACGAGCCCAAAGAAACCTTTCCTCTTTTTAAGCTGATTATATCAGGTATTTTGTCACAGTAACATAAAGCTGACACATACACAGGTGCCAGAGGAGAAACATCTTGAACACAAGTAGTTCTGGTGGCTACACTGTGTGCCCTGACCTAGGCCCTAAGGTGGAGACTGGGAAGGGCAGGCCTGCCTCACTACTTACTGTCCTGGGGGACTGCTATGAGGACATTTCATCCACAGGGATGGACAGAGAGGCAGCAGAAGTGAAGTGGGAAAGAACAGCTGGAGGCACCAATCCCATTGTCAACAGAGATGAGACAAACAAAACAAAACAAAACAAAATGAAAAAAAAACAGCCAGAAAGCAGCCAAGAGGTACATGGTTCTCTCTAGAAACCAGAGCATTCTGGGTGAGGCTCAGAAGTTCCCAGCTGGAATGGGCATCCCAGTAACCCTGCTTGGGAACTGCCACAGGGCCAGGCTGGGGCAGCTGCCCAGATGTGCAAGGGTGGTCACGGAGAACAGGTGTGCAAGGGTGGTTGTGGAGAATAGCTCCAGAGTGCTGCCCTCCTAGACGGTGCCATAATGTGACAGTAGCCAGACTGGAGCCCTGATTTAAAGAGAACTGTGTGCCCAGGCTGATGATACAGTGCAGAGACATTTCCCGCTGTGCCAGGAGTCATGATGTGTGGTACTGGCCCAGTCAGAACGTGAACTTCACGGGAAGCAGTAATTTCTTTGGGACCCACGTCATTAACAAGAGTCTTTTGTCATTAAGATCTCCCAAAAGGAGCTACCGAGATTTAGAAAGTGTAAAGTGTGTTTCCGATAAGTCTATTAAGGATTCTTAACCTTAAATAACCCTCTGTGATTTTAAAATGCAATGCTAAAAGGAAAAAAAAACACTTTCTAAATTTTCTATAAATAATTTACATTACCTTTATAATTAGAGATGAAGACAAAACAAATAAAAAAGAACTTCAGAAACATGCCACCTACTCTGGCATTTTCCGGGTCACTTATCTAACAAAGACAACCATTGTATCAAAATCTTTCATACCTCACAAATGGACCCTGTGGAATAGTGTTAAGGAGCATTGTTGGTCACACTTACCAACAAGAAGAAAAGTCAATGTAAACATCATACTTAGAACGATCTTCCATGACCGAGTTAACCTAAAAGAACAAATTAAGACAATAAAAAAGGTATTTAACCAAGTAATCCATTACTATTAACCTTTAACTTGGACTTTCAACTAGCCACTACACCCATGCCAACAAGCCTATTTATTCTTGTTTTTTCTTGCAGGGCAGGCCATCCTGCTTTTACTTTTTTATTTTTATTTTTATTAGTCCAAGTTTGCACTACGCAGCGGTGACATCCACGGTGGGGAGTTGATATGTGACCATCGCATATTTCAATTGCTTTTGTGTCCCCATCTGCTCCTCTCCCTTCTCTCTCCGTCCTACTCTCGGTCCTCTTCCCTTTCAAACCTATTCATTCTCATTCTTGCTTATTTGAGGTTGATTCTGTGAGTTCCCTTAAATCCTAATCTCCTCTTAGACACGGAGAGGAAACAGTCTTCATAAAGGCAAGCACACACTTCCGTTCATGTTCCTCTCTCACACATCTGTGCCTGGGATGCCGGGTGGGTCTATTTATGTTCCTTGAATGCTTAGAAGAAGAAAACAAAGATAGGCGGGTTTTGACGCAAAAGGGGCTAAAAGTCATGCTGTCATTTTGCAGGAATTGGGTGTTAGGCTTAAGAATTATGGAAAAAATGACTCAGAAAGTTTTCAAAAGTCTTCCTCACTTTGCATTTAAGGACTGCATTATTCACACAGAAAAGTGCACAAATTAGAATGCAACAGATGCCCCGTGGACCTTCCCAGGAGGAACCATCCCTGTGACTCTGGGCAGGACGGGGACAGAGTCCGCAGTGCTCTGGGCAGAACTGTACCCCGGACTCATGGCCGCAGCCTGTCGCCTGCATGGGCTGTGTGTGGAGGCAGAGTCATGAGCTGAGGCCGGATGAGTTCATCAGAGCCGGCCCTGAAGTGTAGGCCGGTGTCCTCTGAGAAGAGGAAGAGCCCACAGCTGCTGTGTGTGTGTGCACACAGAGAGGAGCTTGGGCCCTGGCCTAGACCAAGAATGCTCCTCCTTAAAGGCCTCCGGAGCTCCAAGGTGGAGCTTTGGAAGGTGTTTGCACCATGGAGCACTAGAGAGCACTGCTGTGAGGAGGTGGAGTCTGCTCAGAAGAAGCCGGTCACTGGGGTGTGACCAGGAAGGCTGCAGCTCCCTCCCTGGCTCCTCTCCTCTCTGCTTCCTGGCTGTGACCATTTCCTCCCCCGGCCCCCTCTGCCCTGCCTTGGAGCCAGCCGACCACGCATTGTGAATTACTGTGGGTGTTGGGTATTGTGTCCCCACAAGGAGAGAGTGACGGGACAGAGGCCGTGTCACACACGGAAGACAGGCTCCTGGTTAACTGAGATGGCAAAGGGAAGCAGCGGGAGGAGTCCTGGGTCACAGTTTGGGAGGACGGTGACACTGGTCCCTGAGATGGAGTCATCAGCAATCTGACCTTCAGTGTCTCACTTCTTGGCTCTGAACCCATCTCCATCACCTGGAAGGCACAAGTCCTTGCTCCAGGTGGATGGGGATGGGCTAAGGAGGTGCCCTTGAGCCTGGGAATGTAATTTGTGAGGTAGGTTAAACTATGTGGCGAACGCTTAAGTTTTTTAAGAAAAGTATTACAGCAAAAGACACATGGGCACGAATTCCCCTCAAAATCCAACCCCTCACTTTAAACACACTCATCCCATTGTCCTTGCCACTTTCTGCAACAGTTCTGGAGTCCTCTCTCCTGAGGGTCTGTAGTTGTGCTCTCCTAAATCAATTCAAAGTGTTTCCTTTTCATGGTCGGTTTGATTTTGAAGAAGAACCAGAAGTCACACAATGCCAGGTCTGGTGAATAAGGTGGAGGAGGACACAGCATCACGTTTTTAGAAGCCTGACTTTCCACTGGCTGGCGCTCGGCAGCAGCATTCACACTCCTGACCATGCCTTGGGAAGACCCTCAGGAAAGAGGACTCCAGAATGGCTTCAGAAAGTGGCAAACACAATGGGACAAGTGTGTTCAAAGAAGGGGAGTGTTCTGAGGAGAGTTAACAGTAATGTAATAAATTCTTTCCTGTAAAAAATTCTTAAATTTAAACATGCACCATATTTTTTAATCACACCTAGTACCTCCAGGGAATTGTTCTCTTGGAATCATCCCCCTTTTAAATATTATTGAGCATATGGGGGGTGGGGCAGAAGGTCCACTGTCTAAGCAAAGTTATTCTAAGATTAATGACACCCTCCCTGGGGGCTGCATTAAGTGAAAATTATCATATTTACCAAAGATTAATTCAAGTTTTTGTTTTTAAACTTAAAATCCTTGCCACCAGGCTCTGCTTTGCAAAGCAAAATTCATTCTAGCCTTCACAGAGCCTGCGGGTTTTGCCATTGCGGGTGGGCATGCTTTATTACTGAGTGTGATTTTCCACTGCTGTTCTTATGGCAGAGAGGACTCTGCAGTGACCCTTTAATTTTTGTTGGCAGTTTTGTTTCTGGGAGCATGCTTCACTGTTACTACTGGGGTGGTGAACTCATTCTTTTCAGAGTTTTTTTTTCCCAGCAGGCAGCACATTTGGCCCCCTCCAAGAAGACAGAGCCTGCCTTGCTTCTCTGTCCAGCTGACAGCTAATTGTTCTTCCTAGAGGCAGCACAGGGATTAGCTGTGTGTCCACTATCGGGCTGTGGGCCCATCATCACCCAGAGTGTCACAAGTGCCTCTCTGTCTCGTGTTCTGAGGCTGCTGCTGACACCACACAGCCAGCCCTTTAGTGAGAGTGAGTCATTGGAAAGGTGTGGCTCCTGTCTCACTGTCCTGTCCCCACTGCTCTAAGGAATGTGACTACTACTGGCACAGACAGCCAGTACCATGGAGGAAAATGGGTTACTTTCCAGATACACGGGGCCCGGAAAGCAGTCCACAAAGTCACGTACCCATTTTCATCTGGGTTCCGGAGCTCTGGTAGCAAGACAGGGAGGCTGGCACTGCGGCTGCTACTGTTGGGGTCATGAGAGCCAGCGGGGAAGGGCCCTGCACCCCGCCTGAGATTTCCCTTCCCACTCATTGTTCCCACCTGGCAGCCCAGAGCTCACAGAAGGCCAGGTGCCATCCCCCGTCTCTTTCCAGGTTTGCGGGAAACGTGTCACTACTACAGTGGTTTCTTTCCTGTCTTCCCTCTTCACAGGAGTTGCCTGCAAGGGGGAGCTCTGGGCGTGTTCCGAAGCGTCGTGACTGCTTTATGACACCACCTTCCGCGACAGCTCATAAAAGCAGGTGGCCACGGCCCCACCCAGGGGAGCCACACACCCACCTGTCTGCCCCCCTGCTGTGTGGCTCCCTGGTTTAAACCTGTGTGTGCTGTGCAGGTGTCCATGCTATGGCACGGCTGGATGTTTTGAAAAATATATAAAATATCAGAAATATAATGGAAGAAACCAAGATACTCTCCATTTTCACACTTCCCCCCCAATAGTGGCCACTGGAAAACTGAAATACTCGAATCGATTCCTGTGTATTTGTAATATGTATATTCCATAAATATTGTATTTTTCATGCTTTAAAATTGAAATAAGTGACTACTTAGGTTACTCTTTTTTGTTTTTTTTTTTCAATAATATCGTTTGTGTGTGTGGCATTAGAGATGGAACCCAGACTTTTCCTACTGAGCTCCATCCCCAGCCCTTTTTTTTTTTACTTTTTATTTTGAGGCAGGGTCTTGCTAAGTTGTCCGGGATAGACTTGAACTTGTTCCTCCTGCCTCAACCTCCCAGTGTGCTGAGATCACAGGTGTGCATCATCACGCCCAGCTAACAATAACTATCTTGAGATGTATTAACCCAGGTCACAAATTTTACTTGCTCGTAGTATTTTATCACATATACATCATAGTTCATTTACCCATGTTCCCTCAGATGTACACTCGGGTTATTTTTGAGCCATACCAGTCACTCTTGTGTGGATGTCACAGGTTCTTCCAAGCGTACACCCAGACATGGAACTGCTGGGTGGAAGAATGAGCTTCTCTGTTTGGGGTATGCAGCTCTGGTGTGATAGCTATCTTGCTTTCAGCACTTAATGGCATCTTGCTGTTATCTATTTTAAAATATGGAACTTCAGGGTGACATCAGCAACACAGCAGGAGAGGTGGGCCCTGCTCATGTCCCCCAGCAGCAGCAGCAGTCCAGCAGATGCCTGACACAGCACCTCTGTGGGAGCCTTGGGGCCCAGTGACAGGCTGTGAAGTCCCATGGAGCCCCCCGCTGAGCAGGGCCATTCTGGGAAGTCAGGCCCAGGAGAGCAGGCAGGATCCCTGGCCATGGTCCCACCTGAAAACCCAGAAAAGTCTCTTCCTCCCTTGGGCTTCCACCAGAGGGGAGTCCCTGCCACCTGTGTATCAGGCTGTGAGCCTCCTGGCCACAGTCCAAATGTAAACAGCACAATGGCCCATCAGCCACAGTCATAGGATGTCCCCATAGGGACCATGAGGGGACGCTCCCATCCAACACTTGAGGCAGGTATGCCAGCCATCTGCTTCAGTCCCCAAGGATCTCTGTGACCAGCTCTGCACTCCTCAGCCATGGTCTGGGAGCCACCATGTCATCCAGGTGTTGAGAGAGAGACACAGCCATCTGTGTCCCCAGAGGCAGTGCCACTGACCCATCTCGTAGAAAATCCTGACACAGGCCTGTGGCTGCTCCAGCCCCTCCCAGCTGAGGTGTGACAGTGGTCACATCCACCCAGGGACTCACTGTACACCCAGAGGCCAGTTTGCTGTCTTCAGTATCAGCTGCAGGATTTAAAGCAGTCTGTGACCTGGTTTCAGTCCTCTCAGGCGTGGCTTGGGCATGGCCTTACCTCCTCAGGGACCTGCCCAGGCAGCTGCCATAATCCCTCCTTCCCAGACACCCAGCGGGGATCACACCCATCCAGGCACCTGGCAGACCTGCTACCTGCAGGCTCCACTGTGGACCCTGAAGTGTATCCTTGCCCCAGGGCCAACCCTACTTACCACAGTCTGGAGGGTTTCCTCTCCACCCAGGGACTGGGCACAGCTGGGCCCCTGGTAACAGGTCCAACACCTAAAGTCTCACTAATGGTCGTCTTATTTAACTCCAACCTGTTCAGCAGCAACAGTGGGTACACTTCCTCCAGGCTGGGGACCCAAGAAGTTAAGATCTTTACCTTTTGAAATCAGTCTGAGAAGACTGGAAAAACACTTGCTATTTCTAAGGACCAACCATTCAATACTACATGGATGACAGACAAGCATGACACCAACAAAAGAAACTAATAAAGCTCCAATAGTTGACCTCAAAGAAATAATAGAGACCTATAAATAATCTAATGAAGAATTCAAAATAATGGTCTTAGTATATGTGCTGCCGAAGCGAACCCTCAAAAGAATAATTTTTTTCTTTCATTGAGTTTATTGGTGCATTTTAGGTATACAGTACAGTTACATTCATCAATGGGATCTTGTATCTGTACGTTTTTTTTTGTTTTTTGTTTTTTGTACCAGGGATCGAACTCAGGTTGGTCCTCGAGCTTGCAAGGCAGGGGGCAGAACCACTAAGCTAATCCCCGGCCCTCTTGTACCTTTACATGACAGGTCTTGGTTCTCATTTTTTCCCCTTGTCCCTGCCCTCCCTTCATCCCCTCCTCCACTCCCCATTTACAAACACTTTATTTCCATTTTTTCATTTTCTCATATTTTTCCCTTATATCAAAAGAATTTTAAAGAAGCTCAATGAAATGCAAGAGGACACATACAGATAACTAAACAAGATCAGAGCAAAGTAAGTTAAAAAAACAGATACAATAGAAAAGGGCCAATCAAAAATCCTCGAGCAAAAGAATACAATGACAGGCCGAAAAATGCAGAGAGGGATGAAATGATGAAGAAGAAACAGTGAAATTAAAAGTGAGTCATTGGAAATTAATCATGTAGGGGGGATTGGAAAAAGCAAAGGGAGCACAGGACCTGTGAGATGCCATAATGGGTGTATATATGCATTATTGGGGTTGCAAAGCAGAAGAGAGTAAGGTGAGGAAAGAATATTTAAAGAAAAAAATTCCCAGTCTTGGCAGTGATACGAACATTTAGATTTGTGAAACTTAAACACTGCCAAGTAAGATCAATTCAAAGGCAGTTATTCAGGAATGTATCGCATTCGAATGATTAAAAGTCAGAGACAAATGGCAGTTTTAAAGCAACAAGTTACTTGTCACATAAAGCTAAAGCAGATTTCTCAGCAGAACCTTGCAGACTTGGACAAAATGAGATAATACAAACAAACAAACAAACAAACCCACAAACAAATAAATGAACAAAAATCCAAAACAAAATAAAAACACATTTGAAGAAACCCAAACTGCCACTCAAGAATATGGCCTGGGAAAGCCGACTTTCAGAAACAGAGGAGATGATAGACACATTCTTAGACAAATGGTCATGTCTTGTAAGACCTGCCTTACAGGAAATGCAAGTGGGACAATTCAAGCTAAAATAAAAGGTAGCTAAGTTACAAAACGAAAGTGTAAAGCTAAATGCACACATGCAAAAGGCCAATGCATAGTCAAATTCAGAACATGACAATGCTGAAAAGGTGGTGGTAAACACTTTTAACCGTAGTACACACGTTGAAAGATAAAAGGATAGAAACAATAATTCATTAATGTATAATGTAAAAAGATATGAAGTGTGACATTAATATAAAAAGATATGAGGAGGAAAAGTGAAAGTATTTTTGTATGTACAGAGGAAGGAAATAGCAAGACCAAACAGGAATAAATGAAATATGGACTAGAAAAACAATAGGAAATATAAAAAAGCTAAGATTTTTTTAAAAGACAAGGTTGACAGATTTTAGCAAGTCTAAGAAGAAAGGAAAAACTCAAACCAGAAATTTAAAAGGAAATGTTGTGGTTATTGCAAAAAATGCAAATATAATAACAGATATGAATAATTCGATGCCAATAAATTGGATGGATAATCTAGAAGTTGATAAATGCCTGAAAACATACAAATGAGTAATAAAGAATTAGGAAATCCAAGCAGGTCAATAACAAGTAAGGAGACTGAATCAGTAATAAAAATCTCTCATAATATAAAGTCCAAGATCCGGTGCCTTCTCTGCTGAATTCTACTAAACATGTAAAGAACAATTCCAGTTCTTCTCAAGCTCTTCCAAAATATTGCAGAAGGAGCATTTCCAAACTCATTTTGTGAGGCCTGCATTACCCTTATACCAAAGCCAGATAAACATACAATAAGAAAAGAAAACTGCAGGGCCAGGGCTCAATGATTCCACTACCTGCCTCACAAGCACAAGGACCCAAGTGTGATCCCTGGTAACCAAAAAGAAAAAGAAAGAAAAGAAAATTGCAGACCAATATAACTGATGAACAAGAGAAAAAATTCTCAACAAAATACTAGCAAAACATTCAGTATCCCATTAAAATGATCATATGTCATGATCAAATAGGATTTGTCCCTGGGATGCAAGGATGGTTCAACATACACAAATCAGTAAATGTAGACCACTGCAACAGAAAGGCAAAAAACATCATCTCAATTGATTCAGAAAAATCATTTGAAATCAGGTGTGGTGGCACAGGCCTATAACCCCAGCATTTGGTAGACTGAGGCAAGAGGATTGCCATGAGTTTGAGGCCTACACGTGAATTCAAGACCAGCTTGAATTACATAGCAAGCCCGTTGCAAAAAACAAAACCAACCAAACAAAAAAAGCATTTGACAAAATTCCTTCCCTTTTATGATTAAAACTCTCAACAAGTTAGGAATACCAGAACTCTTAGCCAGAACAGAAAAATAAACAAAACTCATCCAAATCGGAAAGGAGTTAAATTGTCTCTGGTGATGACATGATCTTAAATATGGAAAACCTTAAATATTCCACCAAAATAATTGTTAAAAACTTATAAAGTGATTTAATAAAGTTTCAGTATACAAAATTAACAGAGATAGCATTTTAGTACTCATACTAATAATGAACTGTCTACAAGAGAAGCTAAGAAAATAATTCCTTTTCAGTGGTGTCAAAAAATGAAAATATTTATGTGTCAGTCAGCTTTCCATCTTTATACCAAAATGTCTAAGAAAATAATTTAAAAAGCAGAGAGGTTTATTTGCC